TCTTATCCTAAAGCAGAGAGAATGAATTAGGTTCATTTTTCTGGAGATAGGCACCAAACTATAAAAATTAGTTAGTTGTCCGTTTCATGTACGTTGTTGGTGGATAGATCTTTTGACAGATCTGTCATTGCGTCTACTAAGGCACACATCAAGAAACGGAATGCTTAGTTTGGATTCCTTTTCTATGTTGAGTTGTAAAGAAGGATAGCAGTTGTTGAATGCAAACAAGGCATCACCAATAATTATGTTATTATCGCAGATAACGATAGTATCGTCTGCTCATCTTCTATAGATGTCGAAATGATAGATGGTTTGACTAAGTTGAGGATTTTCAAGTTTTGCCAGAAAACAATCAGCCAGCAAAGGACCAGTGATGATCCCATAGCAATGCTATCTCTCTGTCTAAAAATCCAATTGTTGAACGTGAACTAAACATTCAACGTGCATCTCAATAAAAGTTCTTTGAGGTAGATTGTCGACAATCCTATTTCGTAACTATGTGTATCAATATAATCACACATACAGCAAATAGTTTCCATGAGCGGTACATTGGTAAATAGCGAAGTTATATCTATTGAGAACATGACTTTGTCTGAGACATTAAAATCTTTAATAGTCTCCATAGATTTAGACGTTTCATCAATGGAAAACTTAGACACTTGCCTTCTAACTGGTTCCAGTATTTCAGCTAGCCATTGAACGATTCCGTGATGAGGAGAACCCGCCATATCAAGAATTACACGAAGGAGTAATGCTGCCTTGTGAATTCTCCGTAACCCATACTAACATGGTATTATGGAGACTACTGGTCGGATGCGTTCATATAGATCTGACGAGATTATCTAAGTTGTTTCTTTTGATTTTCACGAATGTGTCATCCAAGCAACGTATCCAAATTTTGAGTTTGATCCTCAGTAGGAGAATGTTTCCAAGTTTTGCATCACAGCTTTTGCAGTTAGACCTGATATGGATAATTCAACAGGTGTCCCTTTAATTTGTTAATAGATCTGGCCGCTGAATTGAAAATACGTTGCTAGGCATAGGTCTGTGCATTCAGTCCAACTTGTATGTTGCATTTTTGGGTGTTGTGGGAGGTGTTCATCGAAGCTCAGTAACTGCTCCATGGTTCATCTTGCTAGTTTCTATCCAACTGAAGCATACATATAATGCTGTTATATTAGGGACACCATTATTTCTTGATCACCTATTTGAATGTATTTCATTTTCTCTAGAAATCGGGATGCAGACTTGATGGAGTGATCTCAGGATTCCGTCAAGTGTCTCAATTATCTGTATAGTTCTTTAGATAAATTGTAAATCGGGGTTCCTGGAAGTGATACAGTTGGTCATGGTGGGACGTTTGGTTTTTGTATTTTGGGTCTGTCGTAGAATCAGGATAGAACTGGTTCATTGGATTTCATTCTCCATTGATCATCTTTTGTGAGCCTGTTTAGGGTTCTTGAGATGTGCTTGTTTAGTGTTTAAGTGGGATTTGTTGTAAGCTGTTGGTATACATTTTCATCGTTAAGTAGCTCTTAAGCTTTCTTCTTGTATTCTTCTATGTCCATGAGTAATGTGGTTCTTCCTTTGTCAGTTGGTAGAATAACGATGTCTTTCCTATTTTTCAGTTTCTTGGCCGCCTTTAGCTCTTGAGAGTTGAGCTGGGTGTCGTTTTTTATTTTTCACCATTGGTGTAATTGTTCGCCATATTTCTTCTTGTGTTTCCACATTTAATTTTGGTGGTTTGAGGGATGATTAAAGGGCAGCGAATCAGTCAGTTTTTGAAACGTTTGATTACTTTTGTAGCAGTTTTCGTCCCATTTTTGATAGTGACTTTTTTGATATTTTGACTACACAGTCAACCGGTGTATTGCATATTTGTTGATTTTCAATTTTTTCTAGCTTTGCTATAAGAACTTTTCGTCTTTATTCTTTGTGTCTTCTATTGGATATTGCAATAGCGGTGATCAGCGGTGACAGGCGTTACTGGCTACGAGTTTTCTCTGGTTTTTTTACTTTTTATATACCAATTATTTGTTGATATCTATTGATACGATAATATGCATCTCTTAAATTAGTTGTGTTCTCTGTAATCATCACTTTGACCATTCGTCTTCCACATTGATATCCACTCCCTCATATCACTGCCTATGGATAACCATGGACATTAATTCGAGTGGGACAACATTCAAACATTGGATATAGGAAACACCAAAAACGCCAGAGAATTTTGGGAAGCCTGGTATTCCAATAAGTCGGTAATTAACAGACACATCGACATAGACAAAATTTACCAGTCCATAACAAGAAAATCTCATGCACAAAGAGTCAAACTTCAGGTAAAGGAAACAATCAGTACCAGTACAAGTAAATTAGAAGGTATGAAAACAGACAAAAGCAACAAATCCCGTTCAAGGTTACCAGGAGAGACGATTAATAAGCTCATAGAGAAATTTAAAAGCTCACTTTAAATTGAAGTGTTCACTGATGATGTTACCTAATAAGGCAATGAGAGCTTCGCAAATAAATCATCCAGCTCATGAAACACATGTATGCATGCGTGTCAGAAATGACTTTTATCTTATAACTTTTATTATCTAACCATCTCGAAACCAGAATACAGAAAATAATCATGATGTGTTTGTATCCCTTAACATAACTGGAAATAGTGTTGCAGAGCAGAGATGACAGTTGGTCAAAACTTTCAGTTGAATCTGTTTCACGTTGATCATTTAGATGTTCACAAATATAAGTTTTAAGTAAATCTACTTTTCGCTCGATGCCCAATCTTTCTGGAACTATTGGGTCATATTTTGATCACATCTCATGTAAAATGTTGTTAATGTTTAGCCAAACAGTTGCATCATCACCACTACATCAATTTTTCATGAATATTTAAAATTTGTTTTCCAATCGCAATCATCTCAAAACAAGTTTGAATTGTAGCAAGTCAAGGTAACGCGCGAAAATAGGCTGTAATACTCAACTGACATTTCAGAAGTGTAAGTACTGTAATACATCTGTTTTCTGTAAAGCAACTGGATGACATCTTCCTAAACACGTTAATCCAATTATCGCTAGTAAGTCTAGTGCACATAACGAGTCCATGAACAATAAACTTGATAGGAGAAAAGTTGCTGAATATTACCCACAAACTTTTCTGTACAGCCAAGCATTTCTATATTTTCTATGAAACAGACATATGTGATGTTTGTATCACCATAATTACTTGAAAAAGCACACAGACTGATATCGTATTATTTAATGGATGATATTTTGAGCACGATTTATTACTTCATAACTATATAAAAGTAACTGACTATAAGACTTAATTTTTATGGTTACTTAGTTTTATGCTGCTTGATTTTCATTGACAGCACAAAAGTTCCTGAATATCTTCGATGAGTGTTGAATCATTCTGAAAACAACTTTTTGATACTAATTCGATAAACAAAGATGGACTTCTCGAGGAATGATGAGTGGGAAGGCGACCATGCTTATACGACTTGAAAAAAGTTTAGATATTGCACTAACGACCATTGATAAGTATATCGACAAAATGCTCATTTTTGTACATGATAAAACGAAGATTAAGTAATAATTACTTTCCCATCTAACCATATTCAATTTTAGAACTTTCACCGACTCTTGACCTTTAGTGCAAATGGACGTGCCCAATATCCACTTTAGTGACAGATATATTTATTGCAAAATGGGAGCTTAATGCTTGAAAATCTACTGCAAAAGAGTGATTGACATATGTAGATGACATTTTGACTTTATTGAAGCTGAAATATGGGCAAAAGTTTTGGCACAAACTTGTTAGTAAATAAAATTCACTTCACTAATGACCCAGAAAATAAACATAGATAGCGCCTGTTGGTTGATTTTAAGACAGAACGAAGAGAAGATGTTAGTTTAGATAAAAACGTCTACCAAAACCAGAGCACTTTAATATTACCATAGCTTAAGTTCCTTCCAGTCAGTATGTGCTAGTTCAGGCTTGGTGAAGTGTTTGAGCAGTCAAACCAGGACTTTGACCAAAAAAAATTTTAATCAAGAATTCAGACACAGTAAAGAGTTACTAGTATTCAATATTATCTCTCAAAGTTTACTAAAAATTTATAAATCCTGGTCAGAAACAAAAGGTAATGTAAGCAACACGAGTAAGACAGTATCCAGAGCCTATTTGAAAGGAATATCCTGAACTTTATCTAAGATTCTTAATAATCCTGGAATTGGATAGCATTTAAAGTTACATAGGAGCCATGTGGGTTAAAACATTCTACAGCGAGAATCAGGTGAAACAAGTTATTCATCAAATCCCACTTGAGGTTATATACACAGGTCAAAGTGGTCAACCAGGGTCAGTCACATCTCAGCACAAGAATTTAGCTAAATACAGACTAATACATTCTAGTATTCGACTTGTTCCCAAGGTAATAAAATACATTTTACCAACGATGTCCTAATTTTAGGTCGCCGATAATTTTCTCATGTATTTGGATCATTTTGAAACTTCGTGGACCCAATAAACCTACTTTAATAATACACTGAAGAAGACAGTTTTTCTGATCTCAGTAATGCCAATTCTGTTGACTGTTGTAACTAAATTGGAGAGGCACAGTGCTTCACTATCAAATATCTTTAGAAAGTGCAGTTAGTTAACAGCTAAGTTTTAAAAAGATCTCAGTGACTGGAATTAGTTGTACCAAAATGATTAAATAATAGGTTTGATCAACGAAAGTGTGTTTGTGTGGACATCACTTAATAAATTTAAGTTTCTTAAAATTTTTAACCTACATAAGTTCGAATTATGTGTTCTACAATGTATGTGAACATATTTGTATTTGTATGAGTGTAGGGTACTGTGGGTGACAGGAAGGAGATATCATTGTTTTTACTACACACAACTTTGATATAGTATCTGTGAGCCAATCGTTTTGGAGTGATCACATTATTAATAATGAATAAAAATGTGCCATTTTTCACTGAACTTATTACAATCAATAGACTTTGACGGATGACATGAGAGTCAAAAGAGGAATTATACTTCATTATTCCATCACTGAATGACATTGTAAAAGTGTGCATCACAAATTCTGTTGACCTCTTCTTTTCTACTCATCTGAGTCAAATCATTAAATTAACTGAATATAATAAGATGCCGTGTGTACGTGATCCATTTCCATGGTGGTTGCCTCTAGCTGTATCCAGTTCAGTGGTGTTGATTACAGTATTCTTAGGTATTTTTCGTTGGCTATATAAAATATACGCAAGACACAAAAGAATGAAAATAAAATCAGCACGACAAATTATACAGTACAAACAGTTATCACCATTCTCAATGAATCATCAACGTTCATTAAGCCTGCAAAGTACAAATGAGGATGCATTCGATGATTATCCTGGATTATTTATTGACAATAAAGATGATCAAGAATTCGAAGATTTTACTGAATCAGAAGAGAATATATCTTCATTAATTAAAAATTATTCACCTAGTCGACATTTAATGAGTCGTTATAAGAAACCACGCCGTATTAAAACAATGTACGGGAAAAAAGCTGATGTGTCATCGGTACCAGTGATTAAAATTAATGATGTAGGGCAGCAACACCAACAGTCACAGACACTAACATCAGCGAAGGGTAATACAAGTATCACTCCGTCAAAACAACCAGCTACAAATTCGTCACCGCCGTCATGTCTACATTCACAACAAGATAAGTATCTTCGTGATATTTTCACTGTCCATCCAACAAACAATGAAATAAATATCTCTGAAAATTCAACTCCATCATACTGGGAAGAAAAAAGGCGATGCAGTTGGCTAATCAACTGGTTCAGACATACACGTTTAGGTATGTCTGCAAGACAACAGTTGAATATGAAATTATATTGTGAACGATTTACCACTGTCTCATATCCAGCTGGCAAAATAATGGTTAGTACTAAGCATTTTGTTTGATTTTATATTTTAGAATCATGCTTTCTGATATTAGTTGGGTCTGGTTTCTTTCCTATGAAATGTGAACGTGAATATTTTAACAAAAACAAATTGCTGTAGGTCTAATATGTAATAAAAGTGGAAACTTCTACAATGTCACCTTAGTCCCTTATAGTGTTTATTTGGTTTAAAACTGTTAGTCCAAACTTTTGCAAGGGATTAGATGAAAGTTGAGAATCAAAGTCTACGCATAATTATCTAAAAAACTCGGGAGACTATTACATTCTGTAATTCGTCCTTATCCAACCATTCGTACGATGGAGATCAGATGAAGCAGAAGTTGGCATTATGAAGAAAAGTTAACGGTAATCAGTGATGAGTAAGAATCAAATGAGACTAGGTCTCTGGTTTTTTAAATATAGTCTTCAGGCCACTGTTTCAAATATTACCATAAGGCTTTTCTATGCCCACTAATATAGCCGTTTCGACACTTTAAATTAAAGCACTGTGCAATAAAACCATGCTACATATGTTACTGGTGGCTACTTTATATAGTACTGCAACATTTTGAAAGGATAATCGACCCATATCATAGAAAGATTTTAATGGATTAGGTGATAAAGCATTCCAAATCACTAGAAGTGAAAGTGTGCCAGCTGAATTAAACTTCTTAACATTCGTGTGAATTATTTATCTGTATTTTTCCTAAATAACTAATCTACCAATGACTTGCTTCGTAAATTGACCTGTGTCAAACATTTATTGGGATTCAAGGATTTCCAAACTGTTCTTTTTTTTTAATACAAGCTACAAAAAGCTTAGGTAACTTTACTACACTTACTGACATCTTTACAGTCAGTCACCTCAGTATGCAGTAAAGAACATTTGTTAGTGCATTCTGCGTAATTGCTACTTTTTATACTAACATCTGTCAATCGGAATCTAACCAGTTACCTCATAGCTAGAAACTGTTGCTTCAAAATAAATTCAGATCTGATACCTAAAGTACGTAACAGCTCTGTCTCTGTTCATAAAGGATACCTTTCATGATCGAATCAGTCAGTAACACAAAAAGCACTATTATTCCAATAAGCCTATTTTGTAAACGCTGGAAATGCATAAGAAATGTGGAATTACAGCTACTGGCATTGATCGTCTTAACTATGTGTACAGCGCTTATTCTCTAGATGGAATCACTGTAACTTTTAATTGACTTTGACCTGTATTATTATCTAAAAAAACTACATTAACTACTATTAGGTAAATTTGTTTATATATTCCAGTTTTAACAAAAGTCAGTCATCATCTAAATAGCTAAATGGAAAAGCCTTCAACTTTGACACCGAGTAAAATGTCTTCTAGTTTCTTAGGGGAGATGATTTTCCGGAGTGCTGAAGAAACATCCTGCTCATAAGACCCAACAAACACAAAACAGCGGTCTGCCTGAATCACTAAGCTGCCTGAATTTCTATTCGAGAGTTTTCTAGTTCTAGTTTTATGTATTTCTTGTTGTTATGGTCATTCACTTATGTCCATGGGTCACCAAATGTGCTCATGCATATTTTTAATTGGTTTGCAACTTACCGTTTCTCACTTCTGGGGGAATCAAAGACAAATACTATGAAGGATTATTTTGTTCTTCAGATCTAACATCACTGACACATGATTTACTGAAGATGGCTGTTTTACTTGAAACTCCTAGATGAAGAGAAAATATTATGCAATAAACTACACTGGAAATTATGCATTCTGTGTAAACTGATTATCCATTATGAAACTACTATTATTATTAGAAAGCCAATTACAAAGCGCTGTGTCAGTCGGCTCTTGACATTTAAATCTTCCAGAAGGCCATTCTAATTAACTCTGACTTTGGCGTATCAGGAAAACAGTTCATCGGTGTTTTCTTACTACTTCTTTCTCAATCATTATTGATGTGTTTTGATAAGAGCATGAAATAATCATCGTGTTTACAACTGTTAATCTGAATATGTCAGCAGAATATGACTGGTCAAATTTATATATGTGTAAATCTTTGGGCGATACATTAGTGTGTACATCAAGCAGTAAAAATAGTGTTCATATATCCAACAAATATATTTGCTTGGAAACACAATAGAATTCTAAGGACTACAAGATAACAATTAACCGACTTTACAGGAATACTGCTTCAGGAAAAGCATACATATTTCATGATAGATAGAAGTTCGCTTGCTAGATTGTCTGGTATGAGAAAAATTCCAACTTTGGAGAACGTTTGCATTCATTGTGTTACATATTATAATTTAAATGGAGGCATTAAATCCACTCACGCTGACTCTATACCAGAACTATTCCTTTAAACAAACTTGCGACGAAAAAGATTGAGTGATGGTTTAATAAATAATTGTATTCTTATTTTTCTGACAAGAAGCAGTTAACTGAATATAAAATAAAGTCTGTCACTACTTTGCTTACTGTCACCGGTGTCCATCAAAGTGACGTTCTTTCTCCTTTTCTTGTTTCTTTCTTCTTACATGACTTGTCTCATTCTGAAGAAGTCAATTTCGTTAAGCATACTGGTAACCTGACTGTCTCCATGCCAGTTGCTTCCCAATTAGACTGTTCAAAAATGAATAACTTTTTCTCAGAAATCTGTCAATGATCCATGACAAAGGTCTTAGCTAAATCCCTCCAAATTTCAGATTGTTAATTTGACTTTCAGATACAAACGTGAATTACATGATTCATGTGTTGGATATTAAATACGTTGGATTATATCATTCCTCTGACTTTTTCTGCTCAGCTCACATAATCTTAATTTTCAGAAAGATATTTTGTCCAACCTTCTAATTAAGGAAGTTGAGATAATCTGGTATCACTCAGTTTCTACAGTTGATTAACTCTTGTATTCTATCTATTCTTCTTTATTGTCCGCCTTTATTTTTACTGGGCTACTTAATCAAGACTGTGTTCACTGTGAAGGATACCAAAAACTGTCGGTAGGGTGTGTGTGTGTGTGGTTTCACTAAGCCGACTTAATAGTACTGTTGTAGTCAGACACTTGAAATCATACAAGAAATTGGTAGCTACCGTCTTGTCAGACTTTGAGCACCCTGTCTGTATACAAATCTTTCTTTGCATTTCATCAGTTAGGTCTAGAAAGAATTATAAAAGACTTTATGTTCGGATTACTAAATATAGATATATGTGGTATGCATTTTATGTGATGAGAAAAGTGATAGGCGTGAAACCATTACCTTCCTGTGAAGTGGCAAATAAATAGCCGTTTTTATTCTTGCTCTCATTAATATATTTTTGTTACTATTTCTATTAGTTTTTAGTTTTAATATATTACATATATAATTGTAATTGTTTTCCACCTCACTATTTAATGTAAAGAGGAAACTAGATTTAATATTGTACTACATGCTGAAAATTCCATACTGTATAAAATGTACTGTTTGAGATTAAGCCATCGTGAAAACAGCTAAAATTAATTATTTGGTCTTGAAAGTTACCACAGTGGGAAAGCTTACATTTCTCTGAATTCTCCGCATCACAGTGATAGTCTAACTTTTAACACTAACTATTGATTTCATTTCCATACTGACATTTAAAACCAATGTCACACTTATCTTGAATAGTTTTCTTATACAGTATGCAGCTCAATAGAAATTAGTTAAATAAGATTATTAAAACTTTCCTAGTTAAATGTATAAGGTATAGTTCGGGATGACAACTGATTTAAACCCGGTTCCTGAAAAGCGCCAGGATTCATGACGGCAATGTTGTCAAGCTTTCATTGTCTTTCTAGACAGGCTCTTCAGTTCACACTTCTGTCTGAATTCTTCTCAATTATTTCAGTATACAAGTCCACCGTCTGGTCTATGATGATAATAATACGAAAACTGAACTGTTTAATTATCCTTAGTTATATTTCATTCATTGACTGTTTCTAACATACTTTACACGGATGAGAGAGACGTAGCTGCTGTAATTTTGTATTAGTCTTCCCTGTCACTTCTTATCATTATTTAATGCATGATTCATCAACAAAGACTATAAATATAAAGGTTTTTATAAGACGTCAGGAAAGACAACAGAGATATGGGCTTGTAGTATTGTTTTACGGTTTATAGTTGTTAGAAAAATCAAAATTTATGGGTAATTCTTCACAAATTATTTAAATTGTCACCTCCAAGCAAATAAAATGTATAAAAACTAATGACTTCTATTTCTGTATGAAAGTTATGAGTTTCTCACCTTGTAACACTAATTTTTTCTTCAGAGCATAGGTTTATTCATATTTAAACACTTGCCAAATGACAATCCTTTTGTCACTGACTGAAGTTATTATTTCATATTTCACATCAGTTGGTACATTCTACCAAAATGATCGGTCTTTGTTGATATGCTGTCTCGTAGTACGGACACTTAGAGCAAGCCTGAAGGTTAATACAAAGTTGTTTGTTTGAAAGCAGCTATCAGTGGAATACAGTGAGCGGCACATCTCTTACCACTCAGGACTTGTCAGTTAGACCTAACTGCATCCTGGTGGAGTCAACACGATAACAGAGACAGGACATTTCAATCCAATGAAATCAACGAACCTGTGGTCCAAAATAAGAATTTTAACAAATAAAAACTGATACGCGCAGTACGAGAGGCTGCTTTTCACTTCAACATTTGAAACGATGAGTGATGGATAAGAGTCTCAATGGGAACACCATTATTATTATTCCCCTGAATTCCGAGTGGAACATAGGGCTTCAACAACACATCTCCACTTTGTTCTGTTTTCTACCGTCCTCTTCATCTGGATCTACAATTGCCCATAATCTCTCATATGCTTCTGTCATGATCCCCGTGTCACCCTCTCATTGAGGACCCACTCGTCGCTTCCCATCCAGTACACACTTTATTCTCTCCAGGATGATGCGACTTAGTATTTAACTTGGGGTGGACAAGAGCAGAGGCCTAGATCGCCCTCCTTTGACAGCTTCACAGGGTAGCCA